CTTTAAACTTTCTTAGGTCTATATGGCTCATAAATCTTAAAAAAAAATAAATAAAGGCTGGAGAGATGGCTCTTGAGTTATAAGTCAGACTCTGTGTCAGAAACCCAAACACTGGGCTGAGAAATGGTTAGGTGGTTAAGAACATTTTTTCTGCTCTTCCAGAGAATTGACTAGGGTTCAGTTCCCAGAACCCACATTGGGCATCTTACTACTTCCTATAACTCCAGTCTCTGGGATCCAACCCCTCTAGCCTCTGAGGGTACCTGCATTCATGTGTGCACAAGACCCTCATGCACATAATTAAAAGTAAAATGTAAAAATACTTTTTTTCTAGACAGGGTTTCTTTATGCAGCTTTGGGTAAAAATTGCATTTATTTAGGTTAGAAGAGAACTTTTCAGGGACTCCTTCCAGCATGTGGGTCCCAAGGATCAAAGTTAAAGTTAGTCTTGGCCTCAAGCACCTTTACATTTTAGTTGTCTTGATGGCCCCTCTTAGTTACTTTATTTTGAGATAGGGTCCTTTTTTTTTTTTTTTTTTTTTTTTCCTCTTAAGACAGGGTCTCTCTGTGTAGTTTTGGAGCCTGTCCTGGCACTTGCTCTGTAGACCAAGCTGGCCTCGAACTCACAGAGATCTGCCTGCCTCTGCCTCCCAAGGGCTGGGATTAAAGGCATAGGCCACCATGCCCAGTTTAAGATTTAATTTTTTATTTTTTATGTGCATGTGTGTTTTGCCTGTATGTATGTGTATCACATGTGTGCAGTGCCCATGGAGTTCAGGAGAGGCATTGGATCCTTGGGAACTAGAGCTACAAATGGTTGTGAGCCACCATGAGAGTACTGGGAACTGAACCTGGGTCCTTTGGAAGAGTAGCAAGTGCTCTTAACTTTTGACCCATCTCTCCAGCCCCTGTAATGCTAATCTTATGTGTAGTGGCAGTACAGAACCAAGCAGGTTTTGTTTTTGTTTTTTGTTTTTCCAGACAGGGTTTCTCTGTGTAGCCTTGGTTGTCCTGAAACTCACTTTGTAGACCAGACTGGCCTCAAACTCTGAGATCCTCCTGCCTCTGCCTCCCAAGTGCTGAGATTAAGACTTGTGTCACCACCACTAGGTTACGTCTTTGTTTTTTGAGACAGGGTCTCAGGATGTAGCCTTGGTTATCCTAAACACTTACAGATCAGACTGACCTTGAACTCACAGAGACCCACCCGCTTTTGCCTCTTGGGTACTGGGATTAAAGGCATGTGGCACCAGGCTGGTTGGGGTGCATGCTTTTAGTTCCACCACTCAAGAGGCAGAGGCAGGGGCTGGAGTGAGGGTTCAGTGGTTAGGGGTACTAGCTGTTCTCCCAGAGGACCCTGGTTTGATCCCCAGCACCCACACAGTGGCTCAAAATTGTCTGTAACTAGTTCTAGGTGATCATACACCCTCTTTTGGCCTCCAGGGGTACCAGGAGAAATTCCCATAAGCAAATGATGATGATGATGATGATGATGATGATGATGATGATGTTGATGTTGATGATGATGATAATGATAATGGCAAAGGCAGATGAATCTCTGTGAGTTCAAGGCCAACCTGGTCTACAGAGTGAATTTGTGGTCTATTAGGGCTACATAGTGAGACCCTGTCTCAAAAAAAGTTTGAGAGAAGGTAAAGAAGACACCTGACATTAATCTCTAGCCTTTATATGCATTTACACACACACACACACACACACACACACACACACACACACTCACGCAAATTCCAAATTGAAGAAATTAGATGGGATATTGCACCTCATGTACTATTTGTATTTGATAGATGCTGACAAATACTGATACTGTCTCTGTGATTCTTCTTACCCTGTTTCTTCAGGGTGTGTCTTCTATAGTACTGACAGTTTGTAAGTTGAAGGGTGTACCTACTTCTGATGCCTCTCATCTTGCACTGCTTATTGAGAACACACCCTGCACAGCTTATTGAGGGCAGGTTGTCAGGACTGGAGCTGGGGCTGCCAGCTAAGAGCATTTCTCTAGGCTGAGGAGGTAGGAGGACAGATAAACTCCATAAGGCCAACAGGGAGTGTGGAAGGTTCACAGAGCAGAAGCAAGACTAAGAGAATTGAATAAGTGAGGTTGGCAAGAGCTGGCATTGAAGCAGTATTGTCACTTCTTTATAAATAATTTATTTGTTTCTATTTTATGCGCATTGGTGTTTTGCCTGCATGTACGTCTGTGTGAGGATGCCAGATCCCATGGAACTGGAGCTATAGACAGTTGTGAGCTGCCATGTGGGTGCAGGGAATTGAACCCAGGTCCTTTGGAATAACAGCCAGTGTTCTTAACTGCTGAGCCATCTCTCCAGCTCCATGGCTGTCACTTCTTACAGTTAGGTCATCTCTGTCAGATTTCTGTTGACTGAGTGATGGAATTGGGGAAAGCATGTTTGAATGCTGTTGTGTATTTTACTTATTATGTGTATGTATCATCTGTGTATATTAGTGTGAGCACATGCCATGGTGCACAGTCAGATACAGCTTTTCGAGTTGTTTCTGTCCTTCCACTGTGGGATGCATGGGTCAGACAAGATGTTGGGCTTCCCCAGCCAGCACCTTTCCTGGCTGAGCCAATCTGTTGGTCCTCTTCCTGTCTCTTTCTTGAGCTGTTTGAGCAGTTTCTCTCTCTTTCCCCAGTCTTTTAAATAACTGGTGTATTAGTCAGGGCTCTGTAAAGGAGCAGAACTGATAGAATGAACAAATACATATGGACTTAGAGTGGCTTACAGGATGTTGTCCAAATAGCCCAGCCATGCTGTCTCCCACGGAAAGGTCAAGGGTCCAGTCATTTGTTCAGTCCATGAGACTGGCTGTCTCAGCAGTCCCTGTCTGGTACTGAAGTCCAGGGAAGTCCTGGAGAGCTGCCAGTCTTCAGTTGAGACCCTCAAGAAGTAGGTTCTAACACCAGCCAAGGATTACCTCAGAAGCAGGAGGGACGAACTTGCCCGTGAGAGTGAAGGCAAGTGTGCAGAAGGCAAAGCTTTCTTTTTCCGTGTCCTTTCATGTAGGCTGTCACCAGAAGGGGTGGCCTAGGGTGAGGATGCATTGTCTGACCTCAGTTGATCCAGATTTAGGGTTTATCTCCCACCTCAAATAGTCCAGCCAAGAAAAATCCCTCACAGGTGTGCCTAGGTGCTTGGGCTTTAGTTAATTTCAAAAACCTGTTTTAAAAAAGACTTTATTGGGGCTGGAGAGATGGCTAGAGGTTAAAAACACCAGCTGCTCTTCCAGAGGTCCTGAGTTCAATTCCCAGCACCCACATGGTGGCTCACAACCATCTGTAATGAGATCTGGCTCCCTCTTCTGGCCTTCAGGGATACATGCAAACAGAATACTGTATACATAATAAATAAATAAATCTTTAAAAAAAATAATACAATAAAAAATAAAAAAGACTTTATTTTTGTGTGTATGGACGTGTGCACAGCTGCCACAGAGCACGTGTGAGGTCCCTGGGAGTTGGTTCTCCCCTGCTATGTGGCTCCCTGAGATCCAACTCCAGTCGTCAGGGTTCTCCATGGAGCCATCGCTGGCTCTAGGCTCCTGTGCACTCTGAGTGGTCAGTGCTTGCCCTCTTTCTCCTGCTAACTAATTCCTCATAGGACTGATACTTGATCGATTACTTCTTTTCTCCTTTCCTTTTTCATAGTCCTGGGAATCAGATTCAGAACCCTATACATGCTAGCCAGGTGCTCTACCATTGAACCTTTGATAGGTTCCAACTTTGTTTACAACCCGTCTTTCCTATGCTGTCTCTGGTGGGTATAACCCTCATTCTCATGGTATTTCATCCATGATTCCTCCCACCCCTTCTTGGCATTTTGAGTTTAGTGTGTGGATGATCCTCTCTCTGAGTTCAGTTAAACGCTTCCTTTTTAAATTTTTAAAAATTACATCTATTTGTTTTTTTTTTTTTTGTGTGTGTGTGTGTGTGTGTGTGTGTGTGTGCGCGCGCGTGCGCGCGCGCGCACGTGCTTATGTGGAAAGCAGAGGAAAACTTGTGGGGGTTGCCAGGTCACCAGGTTGCGTGGAAAGCGCCTTACCCGCTGAGCCCTACAGTTCAGCTGAACTCTTTCCTCTGCAGAGCTGGAGTTTGCTCCTGCTGTCATGTGTAGAGTGAACCCGTTGACCTCTGAGCCAGCTCAGGCCTCAGATGGATTGAGTCTGTCTGATCTTTGTTAACCTGGGCTTTGGCTCCTCTGCTAACTGAGATCCTGGAAAGTGGTGACCTCACGCTCCATCTCTGTGTTTGAGGCTGTTAGCCTAGGGCCTGGCCCAGCTTGAACTTTGGCTAGTTTTTTTTTAAGAGTGTGAAAAGATCCTATATTATATGGACTTAGATTTTCTGCAACTGCAGAAGTGTAAGACTCAAGAGAGGCTGACACTTGTAGGTTTAGATAGGAAACATTTCTGCTCCCTTGGTCACAAAAGTGGAATCTTCTTTTTATTTGTACTTTGGCATTTATTTGTTTTGCTTATAAAGAATTTGATCCTGGTTGCTTATGGTGGGTATTTCAGCCTGGAGCTTAGTAAAGACATCATAAAATACACGTTAGGTTTTACACTGTCCATGGTTGCTGCCGTGACTGGAGGCTTGCTGAAGGAGGTGCTCTGCTGGCCATTCAGCTGTGGGAATGGGAATGGGGCTAGAATTTATAATTACTAAGTCTTTGTTTCATTCCTTTTTTAAACAAATGCTCTTAAGATCTTTTATTATTTAATCACTCCCCCCCCTTTTTTTTGATATGTGTACACCTGTGTGTATGTTCACTAAATGTATGCCGGTCCCCAAAGGAGCCATCAGATCATTTGGAACTGGTATGACAGATAGTTGTGAGTTGCTCAGGAGCTGAACCTAGGTCTTGAATTTGGGTCCTCTGCAAGAGCAGTGAGTGCTCTTGAATGCTGAGCCAGCTCTTTTCTAAGTTTTTAAATCACACCCGTTCTTTTCTCATGTTTAGGATTTTTGTCCCTGAGTCATGGAAGACAGAAGAGCTGAAAAGTCATGTGAACAAGCATGTGAGTCATTGAAGAGGCAGGACTATGACATGGCCCTCCAGCACTGCACAGAGGCCCTGCTTTCCCTTGGCCAGTACTCCATGGCAGACTTCGCAGGGCCATGTCCACTGGATATAGAGCGTATCAAAATCGAGAGTCTTCTTTACAGAATTGCCTCATTCTTGCAACTGGTGAGTAAATGCTGTTGGTGCACCAGTCGAGAAAGCTGTTATCTACCAGTGTAGAATCACATGCTGGTCACTTCCTGTACAAATCAGCTAATTTGGGCCTGAACAGTTTAAAAAAAAGTACCTGGTGATTGCTGAACATTCTCAAATGGCAAACAGCTGTTTTTAAACTTTGAAATTGTATTCTGGTATACTCATTTAATACATATTTGAGTACATGCTATCTGATAGATAGAGAGATCCCTTCTTCCTGTTAGTGTCTAGTAGAGGAATAGATAGAAACGGTGGCCATTGTAGGTAACTCCATATAGGGCCAGCATGCTAAGGAGAAGTGCTTAGGAACCAGGGAACAGTAGTGCTGGAGGTGAGGGTGTTTTACCCAGGCTGGTCGAGGTCAGCCTCCTGAGAAGAAGGTGATAGGAAGGAGAAAAGGGGGTGAGCTATGTGGAAATCTGGAGCAAAGGAACCTTGAGGTAGAGGCATCCCGGCTGAATTTGAGTAATAGCTGGCCAGTGTGAGTAGGGTAGGGTGTGTGATGGGGAGAGGGGAAAGGTTAGGGCCAGTGGGGTCTTGTGGGGCCTTCTGAGCCATTCAAAGGAGGCTCCAATTCTGAGTGAGGTGCGGAGCTGCTGCAGCAATTGGAGCAGAGCAGTGGTGGGCTTTGATTCAACAGGAATTAGACTGGTGCTCAAAATAGACTATCAAAAAAAGTGATAGGTGTGGTGGTACATGCCTTTAATCTCAGCACTGGGGAGGCAGGGACAGGAGGATCGCCATGAGTTTGAGGCCAGCCCGGTCTACAGAGAGAGAGTTCCAGGACAGCCAGGGTGTGTAGATAGACCCTGTCTCAAAAAAGAAAAGAAAATAGACTGCAGAGGAATAAGAGTGTCTGCAATGGGACTGTTGGGGATGTTGGAGTGATCAAGGGCTGAGATGGCAGAGGCTCAGTGTTAGTTTATAAACAGAAATGCAGCCTGTTCTGTGTAGAAGTCCACGGCAGGAGTAGATTTCCTGGCACTCTGAATGCAGGGAATGGGGAAGCTCTGTCATGTGCAGTCACTTACCCTGACCTTTTTTTGACAGCCCTTAGAAAAATGAGGTTTCCTTTAGCTGGGGTGAGAAGGTCGTATGTAGGGGGCAGGTTTGTGAGCTTAGTTTTGGACCTTCCAAGTTTGAGGTGTCATTGAGGCATCTGGCTGGAGATGAAGAGTGAGTGCACGTGTGGAATGTGGGAGAGGAAGTAAGAGATTATGGGGTAAGATGTTAGTCAGGTCTCCAGGGAGAGGGCTGAGGACCTGGGATGATGGTGTCGAGAGGTTGGGGAGAAGGAACACACAGAGCATCTGAGAAATAGCTGGGAGTAGAAGGTGAGAGAGCCAAGTCCACCCAGCTAGGGGAGAAAATGAGATTTTATTCATTGTCAGTGGCTGCCTCTAGAGATGTGACAGTGTGTGTGATAAATGGAACAGGTCAGTGAACTGTGACTCATATTGGATGCAGTGGAGGTCACTGGTGGCCATCATGAGAGTAGCTTCTTTAGATCAGTGGGTGACTGTCTGACTTAAATAGAACCTCAGAGAATCAGGGGAGGAACTCCTTCTATGTTTTTCTTCCTTCAGACAGTCCCACTGTGTAGCTTGGGCTGGCTTGAGCTTCCCTATGTGGAGCAGGCTGGCCTCCAACTTGTGATCCTCCTGCCTCTGACTCTTGGATGAGGGTTTACAAGTGTGCAGAGCCAGCTCTGTGAGAAGTTCTGCTACAAGGAGAAAGAAAAAGGAGTCGTGGAAAAATCGAAGTCACCCTTCCCTCCCAAGACAGGATTTCTCTATGTAGCCTTGCACATGCAGTCTTGGGACTTGCTGGTAGACCAGGCTGGCCTCAAACTCTCAGAGATCCGCCTGCCTCTGCCTTGTGAGTCCTGGGACTAAAGGTATGCGCCGCCATGCCTGGCTCAGTCAGAGTGTTTTTAAGTTGGGAAAAATACCAACATGTTTGTTTAGGAAAGAATCAGTAGATAGGTGTGGGAGAGTAGAAGTGTGGTGGGTGGTGTCCTCAAGGAGACAGATGGTGTCTCTGGGAACAGGTGTGAGGAGAGGGTGCTGGGAAGGAGCTAGACACAGCTGTGACAGTGGGAAGGAACTCTTCAGTCAAGCCCTTGGCCGAGGTGGTCCTGGAGGAGAGTGTGGCTAGCTAAGGTGGAGGAGTGAGAGCGCTCTGAGAGGGTGAGGGAAGTGCACTGGGGTGCTTGGTTCTGGTGTGAAAGAGGTAACTTTACCTCAGAGATCATGGGAGTGGGCTCTCCCTGAAAGGGAGCCTGACAGCAGTCATGGTTCTCCTGAGAGACAGCTGAGCTCCTCTGTGCTAACTGCTTGCCTTGGAAGTAGTTTTTTTTACCTTGTGTCTTGTCTTTTCTTTTTGTAGAAAAACTACGGGCAAGCTGATGAAGATTGTAGGCATGGTATGTTTAAAAGATGGGACCCTTTTCTGATTTGAAGATTTTAAAAATTATTTAATTGAAGTTTAAGGTTTGAATTTTTTTTTAAAAATTTTCATTTACCAATTTCAAAAGCAATTATAATGTTAAAAATCCTCTCTTACTGTGGTGCCTAGTGACAGATTGGGTTGATGTCTTTCCAGCTGTGACAGGCATATACCAGGTGAGTATGTGGGCATGAATGTTGACATTCTTGTCCCCGTGTGTCCCTTCACCCTCACTCCCTCAAGGGGCATTGATAGTGAGTCCTATTAAAGTCTGGATAAATAGTTATAGTCTATAAATGCCATGTTTAAGAAATGCAGTACACATTGGTTAAAATGCTGAGGTTTGTATGTTGAAAAATACATCTTTTTTTTTTTTTTTTAAAACAAATCAGAGTATTTTCCTTACAAGTGTAGCTGGAATGCTCTGAAACTCTCTTTCCTGTTTTCTTATGGCCGGAAGTTGAGACCAATAAACTCCACATTCTCTGAGTGCTCATTGTGTGGAAATCCTTTTCCTGGCCCTTGCTGTATCTCAGCAGAATGAGTCCAGGAGCCTGTGGGTGGAGGGTCAGGGTGCCTTCCCACGCTCTCTTGCTGGGCTGTCTGCACAGCTCAGTGACCTGGATAATAGAAATCATGTTTCATTTATCCGGAACTGGGGCTTGAGGCTGAGGTGTTTGATATGTTAATTTTTTTTTTTTTTGCATCCTTACTCTTTTGTGTCAAAACATTAAAGAAGAGTTTAGTATTTTTATTTTACACTTTAGCAAGCCATGCTACACACTCCTGTGTTACACAGACCATAATTTAGATAGACATTGTTCATTCATGGTCAGTGGCCTTTCTGTGAACCTTGCAATAGAATTGTAGTGGTTTGGGACTTAAATTAGAATTAGAGATATCCTTGTCATCTTTGGACATTTCTAAAAAACAGAAAATAGATGCAATGGCAGATTATATAGAGGAATGTGCTGGGCTCCTCCTGGCTCTCCTGGAGTATGGTGGGTTAGTGGGCTTTCCTCTTACTATACTGAGAAACACAGATGCTTACAATACATAAATGGCTTTTTTTCCCTTTAACAAATAATTTTCAAGGGGGGCTGGAGAGATGACTTAGCAGGTAAGAAAGCATTTGTTGCTCTTGCAGAGGATCTAGGTTTGATTCCCAGCACCCACATGGTGGCTCACAAACTTCTGTAACTCTAGTCCTACTGGATCCAACGCCCTCTTCTGACCTCTGGCCACCAAGCATGAACATCGTGCACATACATACATGTAGGGAAAGCACTCAACACACATAAAATAAAATAAACTTAAAAACAAATAAAAAAGAAATTGAATATGCTTGTCACAAAGTTGCTTACCTACCACCATAGCGTGGCTATCTTTCCAAGTTAATGTTAATGCAGTGGCTCCAGTTCACAACAGATGTCCCTTGTGTGAATGTTTTGTGACAGTCATTTCCTGAACTGATGAGGCTCCAGCAGGTTCTGGTTCGTTCTTTGTCATTATAATCCACCTGATAATAAACATCCTTGCTTGTTGTTGCCCTTGTTTTCACACCTTCTCTTCAGAGTTGGCTCCCTGGGCTAAGGAGTATGGGAACTTGTGATTTTTTTTTTTAATTTTTATTTTATGTGCATTGGTGTTTTGTCTGTATGTATGTCTATGTGAGGGTATCTGGTCCCCTGGAACTGGAGTTATAGACAGTAGTGAGTTGCCATGTGGGTGTTGGGAATTGAGTCGGGGTCCTCTGGAAGAGCAGTCAGTGCTCTTAACCATTGAACCATCTCCCCAGCCCTGAATTTGTGATTTTTTTTAGACACTGTCAGCTTATAGTTTGAAATGTACTCACCCTCTACAATATGTGTAAATGTTCCCTGTACGCTCATCATGCCAAAACCCAGCAGTTTCAAAACTTTGCCCATCCCCTGTGTGAGAAATAGTCCCATATCTTTAATTTTAATTTTCCTTAGTTCTTGAGAAATTGAAACAGTCTTTCCATTTGAGAAATGTGCAAACAAAGGCCCCAGAAGATTGCATGACTTGTGAAAAGTCACGGAAAAGTAAATGTTGGTAAGGGAAATTTTCATTTTTATGTTTTACTTTTTTGACAGTGTCTCTCTCTATAGCCCTGACTGTCCCAGATACTTAGTATTTTTAAATTAGGCACACTTTAAAACAGATGAGTTCAATAGCCAGGCATAGACGTGCACACCTTTAGTCCAGCACCCAGGAGGCAGAGGCAGGTGGATCTTTCTGAGTTTATTGGCATCCTGGTCTACATAATGATTTCCAGGCTAGCCAGAGCTACATAGTGAGACCCTGTCTCAAAACAAACAAAACCCAGATTAATTACCAGTATAAAAGTTTAGCCATTGTGAAGATGAAGTTGGCATGACACGTGCTATGTATACACTGTGGTGTCAGTAGGCAGTAGAGTGCAGGTTGGAGATTCGCTCTGACCTTTGATCCTCTTAAATTCATGTCTGGGATCCTGTCCCAGGTAAATATGACCAGTGAAGGAGGAAATTGTATCCACACTGGTCTTGAATGCCGTGTGCAAAGGTGAGAAGTGGTTGGCTTTCCGGGAGGAAGGACTTCATTCAGTGTAGTCTCTGCGTTTCCTACTTCTTTTAGGTGACATGGAACAACTTGGAAAGTGGTCCTCCCCCCACCCCCCCTGAGACAGGGTTTCTTTATGTAGCCCTTGCTGTCCTGGAACTCACTCTGCCGTCCATGCTGGCCTTGAACTCACTATCATTGGGGTTACAGATATGTACTACGGTTCCCAGCTTTTACATGTGTGTTGGGGATCTGAACTCAGTTCCTCATGCTTGTGTAGCAAACACTTTACCCACTGAGCCATCTTTCTAGCCCCTATTTATAAAATTTGTACAAAAGCACCTTTATAAAGTTGATCATTTCAGTAGATACTAGAAAATACTGGCTAAGATTACTTATGCACTGTAGAATTCTGACTTTATTTTTTTTCCGATTATCAGTAATGTTATTTTTGTGTAAGATATGTATGTATGGCTAGACAGTCAGGTAACAAGCAGGAGAAACCTCTTGCTGGGTTGCTGTTAATCTATTACCCTCGTAGTTATACTGAGATGCTCTGTGAGGCTAGGCCTAGAGAGCTTCATTGGACGTGCCTCATACCAGTGCCTTCCTGTTTGCGTTTTACATAGTGTGATGCTCATTCTTCTATTGTTGGGTCAGTTTGCATTTTTTTTGTAACTTGTGTATGTGTGTGCCATTTTTTAAATAAACAATTAGCCAAAGTATATTGAGTTTGATACGTTACATTGTATTGAATATCATTGCCAACAGTTACTGCAACAAATATGTGACAGTGACCTTCAAATTTAATCCCTACTTTCTTGAAACATCACAAAATATCACCAGATCAAAAAAGCAACCATTTATTTATTTATTTACTTTTGTGTCACTCTCTGGCTGGCCTACAACTCCCTATGTAGACCAGGCTGGCCTGGAACTTACAGAGATCCGAGTGCTAGGATTAAGTGTGAGCCACTGTGCCTGGCCCTTCTTAAATAATTTGAGTATAGGTGTGTGTTGATTTATTTAACAGCTTGTTACACACACACACACACACACACACACACACACACACACACACACACACAAGTAACAGCTTATTCTAATCTTTTAAAAAACAATCTAGGGCCGGGCGGTGGTGGCGCATGCCTTTAATCCCAGCACTCGGGAGGCAGAGGCAGGCGGATCTCTGTGAGTTCGAGGCCAGCCTGGGCTACAAAGTGAGTTCCAGGAAAGGCGCAAAGCTACACAGAGAAACCCTGTCTCGAAAAACAAAAAAAAAAAAACAAAAAAAAAATCTAGGAAGTTTGCAGCCATCAAGAGTTCAAGTGCAATGTTAGGAGCGATTGGGAATTTGATAATCTTGTGGCATTGTTGTGTAGTGGGCCTTGTAGGTAAAATACGTGCATATTTTCCATAGCATGTGCGGAAGGATCTCTCTAAAATTGGCCTCATTCATTTCATTCTCAGCAAACTGACCTGGCCCACTTGACATGGCCTTTATTGCTCCTGATGTTCGCATGGGTTCTCTTTTCAGAATTAATTCATGACCATCAGAAGATAGTAATTTGACATGCATGGCATCAGGGCCTTCACAGTTACCATGGGTTTTCTCCTCTACATTCATATGTTCTTACAAAATTTTATTTTGATTCCACAGGAACTTTAGAATGGTTTCCTGGTAGGTTGGATGCACAGTCTGTTAGTAGCTTGCATTTGGAGGAAGTATGTGGTGTTTGCTCCTGAAATACTTATTGTATTTATTTCTTTCCTTCTATCATGTGGGATGTGGGGACTGAACTCAAGTCATCAGGCTCAGCTGCAAGTACCTTTACCTGTTGAGCCATTTTACTGGCCTTGTATTTTGAAATATTTTAAAATAACTATAGACAGAGAGGTAACTAAAATGTTTCAGTATGTTTAGAGGCCATCACTGCATAACCACAATAGTTTGTTAATCTAACAAAATTGATAATGGTTTTTAATACTATCTGAGACTCAGTCCATAATCTGATTTTCTTGGTTGCTTCTGAAATATTTTTGTAGCTGATTTGTTTAACTGGAATTCAACAAAGAGTTTTAAAGTCTTGAAGGTGGAATTCTACTTTAGAAAATAGCTTTCGATACCTCATAAAGATAAGTACTATGTCTCAGTTAAAAAAAATATGGTTTAGAAAAAAGTGCATAGACTAGAGTTCTAGATCCAAACTTAGGATGCTGTTGGGCTCAGGCTGTGAAGCCAGTGAACACTGGTTAAGCGATGTGGTTAGGTCAGTTATTTGAATGTAAAACAGGATAGGAATACTTTTCATGAAATGATTCTAATGCTTTGAAATTTTCATTATATGGGAAACTTAGAATTTTATTACATTGATGTGTTTATGTGTGTGTTATATGGTAGGGGCTGTCAGA